TCCTGCAGTATCTGCGAGCTGCTGAGGGGATGCTCAGCATGCCAGGCACTATGTGAACCAAGAACAAATGACCTGCACTCAGGAGCTTAGGTCATTTCAGAAGGACAAAGGCGAAAGAGCCACATAAATGGAAACCCAAGAACAGAGGTAACATACTCAGGGGACACCAGACACTGTAGTCTGGCTTAGCATTTGCCCTGTGAGGATATCCACTTATCCAACCTGCAGAATTCAGCACGATGAAAAATTTGATCGAGCAGACTTAGCTGATAGATGAGCTTTAAAATACCGCAAGCCTCAGCTGCCATGTGAAAGCTGTGCACAGATGTCATCTGCTTCCATGCCCTTTTTTTTTTTCCAGTCAGGTGGGTTAACACAAAACCAAGGGAGATCGAGGAAATTTCCATCCAAGATATCCTTGAGTTCAATTAATTTGATTGAAAAGATCTGCTTCTCTTGGACTAACAGAAACAGGCCATTAGTATTTCACAGCCTAATGACAAATTCAAGCATTGTCATGATTAATGTTATTTCCAAATCTCATTTGTGCCCACCTGGCTGCATCGAGACATGTTGCGTGGTGTTAGATTTTATTCATTGCCTCTTTCACATATGAAAAGGCCAAGAAGCTGTGAGCAGCAGAATGTGTCGCCTGTGCAGCCTCTGATGTCTCTGCAGGACAAGATCAGTGCTCACTCAAATAAGGCACTATTTAGTTTATTATCTCCTTTCCCTAAAGTATGTTTTCATTGAATTTATATTTCCATCTTCTCCATCCTTCTGGCACATGCATTTTTTAAATCAGCCAGTGGTTTCCGTAGTTCTCAGTTGCTTAAGCAGCATTTCCTTAACAAAACCCATGACGCAGGTCCAAGGAGTAGTGAGCTGAAAATCCAGAACTGGGCAGCACAGTGAAGCAGTAGATTAAACCAGAGTTTGTCAGCTGTGTATGTCGTGATTAAAAGCATCATGGGAGTCATGTAGGAGAATTTATTTCGGTTAACGTCTAAGATACCATAGCTTTCCTTACCTCCCTGCTCCCTCCACAATTTATTCTCTTGGTTAAACATCAAAGACTCTCTTGGATCATAAATTCTGATTTGTTCCATAATGCACATCACCGTTGGGGTTTTTTTCAGTCCAATTTTAAAAGTGTTGTGAAGACTGTTACACAGATTATAGATGTTGCTGGGAAGATACCCTGAACTCTTCTCCTTGTCATTTCATCATCACTGTGCAGGAGGTGTCAATACATTTCGTCAAGACAGTAGGCTTTCTGCACTTGTCTTGGTTTCCAGAGATGTTCATGTAGGACACACATCTTTGGTGTTACAGGAGAAGGCCGGTTGGCTAACATATCTGTTGGACTAGAAAGCTGCAGAACAAACTCTTTCTCTAGTCAGGTCATTCAGACTTGCTCCACTGATCTTGCTTTCTGGGTCCATGCGATGACTTGCTGATGGGGAATGGTTTTATTCACATGCAGAGATTTACTGCTGTGGGTTGCTGAGCGCCAGGAAGAGCGACTGCACAGGCCTACCTCCATCCATGCTGGTCAACCCTGAAACTCCCCAGTCCAGAGGACAGTACAGAATACGAATGAAGGGAAACATGTCCTTGATCTGCTGGTACAATAAAGGGCATTTTCGTTTTTTGACCAACGCCTATTCGCCAGTTCAACAAGGTAAGCAATGTTCCTGCTGCTCATCTGGAAAGTCCACGTGCTTTATGTGACAAGGCAAAATGGGTCGCTGAGTTTGGTAATAAGCCTGAATGAAGAGCTTGATCATAATATTCTAGACAAACAGTAGCAGTAGTGATGACTTCCCTTTTGTGTCTTCCCTTGGCTATTCTTTTTTCCCGTACAACCCCTACTGTTCATGCAGCCTCCTTTGCCTGAGCAGGTGGAGGCAGTATCCTTTTAGGGCTAAAGTTTATATCTTTGCTGACAGTCAGAGAAGGGAAGATTGTTGTTGTATAATGCTTTACTAGCCCCATTTGCAAAGCGTCTTGTAGGACTGCTGCTACAAACAAACGTCATGATGTACTTAGAACTCTGAGCAGATCTTACAATTGATTTATGTTATCCAGTAAAAACATAGTCACAAACAAACGTCTTTTTGCCAGAAATAAATATGATTAAGGCTTTCTGTTGTATGTTAAATTGATTTTAGCAGCTGATGAAAAGAAACCAAAACAGATAACTTGGGTAGTTCAAATTGCAGAGAGCTTTTTGGTACTAAAATCTTTTCCTTTTCGAAAGTATACAGATGGTTTTAAGAGGGTTTGGAAAATTCTGTAAGATGCAATGTAATTAGCTGAATCTTTGAAATTCGTCTTTCAGTGAAAATATTGTTTCAGTTTCTTTTCACTTTTATCATTCAGATTTATGTATAAATGCCTGAGAAAAATAAGAATAACCTAAACCTTAAAATGGAAGACCACAAATTCAAAAGCGTCTTGTACGCTCATGTTCTGAATCCTGAGTGGCTCTCATGTGTGTGTACAGGCTACACCATCAGAGCCTTGAATTACTGTATGGTAAGCTGAGAAGTTGATTTAGTGCGCTGTTCAGTGCCTTGCCAGAAGGCTCATTACCTTAGCAAAGTGTGGCTCATCCCAAGGAATTCTGCCAGGTGCCCCAGAAGAGTGAGGACTTGGTGACTCGGATGGACCAGTGTCTGAGCACAAATGCTGAAGTCTGAACATGAGGAAGAACTTCTTCACTCTGAGGGTGACAGAGCACTGTAACAGGTTGCCCGGGGAGGTTGTGGAGTCTCCTTCTCTGGAGATATTCAAGACCCGCCTGGATATGGTCCTGTGCAGCCTGCTCTAGGTGACCCTGCTTCGGCAGGGACTATGTGACCCACAGAGGTCCCTTCTAACCCCAAATATTCTGTGTTTCTGTGAAGATATGTAGGTGAAGGAAATATGATGCTTTGGGGACCCTGCTGAAGCCAGTCCCTAGAGCAGTGTTGCTCCCTGTGAGGGGTGTTCACCATCAGGATGTGCTTGTGCTTGACCTTGGGTCTGTTTTGGGACTGTAGGTTGCATGTGTGAGGTAGTTTAATGTCTGCTGATTAGGACCTGTGTGTGTGATGGGCAAGACCTGCCCAACGCATTGCTCACCAAATGCTGGCTGGGACAGCTGACATAGTTCACGGTGAATCAGAGCAGAAAACGGAGAGTGGCTTTTTAAAGAGTGGTGCTGGGGGGAAGAGAGTCTGTAGTGGAGAGCTGGGAACAGATGGAGACTCTGTAGGAAGGCAGGAGACCAGATTGCCTGCCTCTAATTTGGCATCTCTGAAGTCAGTGCAGCAAAGCTAGTTTAAACCAACTTGAAGCTGGACCACCATAGTCTCCTCTATGGCATGCACAAACAGAGGATGAAGAAGAGGAATCTGTGCTCCTTGAGGCAGGCCTGTAGCACAGACCTGCTGAGCACATGTGTTGGACGGGAGAGGAGGTAGGGGCAAAGGGGAATGAAACCCACGCAGGGGAGCTGGGCAGACCTGACAACGGGTGGTGCATGTTTGCACTCGGTTGAGTGTAAATGTTGAGTGGGGTGGAGGAGGCCATGAAGAGAAAACCTTAAAAATGAAAGGCAAGAGACGGTCAAAGCGAAACTTAAGATAAGAAAAGAGGTAGATGTAGCTAATGATCCATTTAATGCAATTTAGAGGAAAATAGAGAAAGTAAATCTCGCCTTTACTCGGAGTGCAAATCCCACCCAAGCCAGAGGCACCAGGAGGGCAGTACACTTGTCAGACCTGATCTATGAATACTATTCTTGGATGCAGCAGGTTATTTATTATGGATGTTTTGAACCAACGTGTCATAATACATCATCTCAGATGCTAAATGATGAGTCTTATTCCTCTAGTCTTGAAAAAAAAAGTCCTGCTTACTCTGCTGTGTATGAAGTTTCTGCCTAGATCAAAATTCAGTAGGGTTTTTAATTTCCCGTGAGCTTTAACTTGAGTTTAGTTTTCCCTTGCACCTCTGTTACAGAATTACTGAGAAGCCAAAAGAGATTGGGACCCCCAGAGAATGAAAAGTTACCTGTATTCTAAAGCAGTGATGTATACGCTGACCCAAACCTCCCCATCTGTGGAACGTGGCTGCATTTTTGTTCTTCCACTCTAGATCTGGTGCTTGCTTTCCCAGCATCCCCATTACTATGTTCTAGAAATAACGACAATCGTTTCTATTTTTCCTGTGGAGCAGGCAGCAACCTCACTTGGTGCACAGCAGGATGACCTGAATGGCATCTTTAGCAAAAGCTTGTTGAACCCAAGGGCTTTTGTGGAGTAGCTTATTTCTGAGAAGAGCTTTCACAGCTGCTCTTCACCAACCAGTTCTGTTTGAAAGCTAAACAGACAATAGCTAAGGACAGAAAAGAAAGCTTGGGCCACACAGGCAAGGACTGAAGAGCTGCAAGTGGTGTGTTGGCATCTCACAGGTGACTCGTGAGAAGACGGGAGATGTTGTGGAGGCATCGCAATTGTATGAAGCAGCTGTAGAAGTCCCTGTGTGGTTCTAAGCCCAGAAGAGGCTGGAGTGAGGAGTGTCTGCTGACAATTTAGTTTCCTGAAAAAATCAATTTGTGAGATTGACCCAGGACTGGAAAGTCTGGGGAAAGAAGCATAATATTAAAAAGTATGTTTTGCGACGGGGAAGCTTAGGGGTTTGACTTTAAATTTCCCCGTGTCCTTTATGAGACTGCATTTAGGGGGTTGCGTCCAAGTATGGTGAGAGTGGGGATGGGGCTGGAGGACTCTGATGGGAAGACCTTGAACGTTAGAGCTTGTACAAGGCTGACTGTCTGCAATTCTGATAAAGAACGGTAACAAATCTAAGTCCAGATAAAAAATGGAACATGCAGTGCCCCCTCTGTTCCGTTATGTTATGAAATCTCATTCCTTAGCAAGGCGGATGCAAGTGCTAGTATTACCGAGCATCCATTTTTAAAAACCATGATTCTAGCTCCTAAAATCACAGATTGGCTTAGAATAAGTGTTTGAGGAAATAAACATATGTACACCTTTGTCTTTCTGGTTGTTTCATTGGGGTGGTATTTTCTAAGTTTGCTTGATGAGCATACAGCTTAAAAACATTTTTTTTTTTTAAAAAAAAAGAGGTTAAAAAGCCCCCAGACCCAAAACTGTTGTTTCAGCCTTTCCAGCAGGCAGGCAAAGGCAGGCGGCGTGTTCCCTGGAGCGCTGCCGGGCTGCAGGGACGGGCACGCAGCGATGGGAGTCGGCTGCCTCGGCACCGCTGGCCACGGAGACCTGCAGCCAGGAACCACTCAGCCCTGGCGGCTGCTCTCCCTGCAGAGGTGGCCCGTGGCTGTGAAACAAGCAGAGGAAAAGCTATAAAAATAACGTGCGTGTAAAGCTATTTGTATTCTCAGAGGAACGGTACGTGGAATATAGTAGAAAGTGAGAGGGAGTATATGGTACCCACATAGCTGCCACCACAATACATTTCTTTTAAGGGCTGTGAATACAAAGGGAATATAAATCCTCCAAAGGAGGTGAGGGGGAAGAAAGAGAAGAGAGGAGAGCAAGAGGAGAAAGAAGGGGATGTTTTTTTGTAAACTGTTGGCATCAGGAGCATACTTACCCTTTCCTGACCTGCCCGGGTGGGATGGCAAGTGATTTTGCAGCGCTGATGCAGCAGGCTGGTGGTATATCAACCCTTTTTACCTCCTGCTGCCCAGGTTTTTGTAGGACTCCTGAAAAGGATCAAAAAAGCACTGTGATAAGTGTGTGAATGTAGTGAAGGATTTATTTATTTGATTGGGATTTTTTTCCTCTCCTCTTGGGCTACATTTACACCCAGCTTGGGAGGGGCAGAGGTGAAAGGAAAATGTATCGAACAATTTAGAGATGATATCATTTTGGACTCTTGAAAAATCAGACTTTAAAGACCCCAGATAAATTGCTGCATGGCTGGGCTGTAACATGACATTTAGTATGTGTCGTAAGTCTTTCTTCAAAATAGAGCTTGCCAGCTAGGGCAGCACAGGGAGCTTGACAGAGATAATGGATGGAAGGAGACTTCCAGCTGAAGGAATGAAATGGTGAAGTCCGTAATCAAAACGTGAGGCGCATTTTAGGGATGATTGTAAAAGAGTTGGCAGAAGGCAGGCAATGAGAGCTTGAAGGCTTGAGAAATGAGAAAGCCCAGAACTGTACCTGTACCGAAACAACACTGAGAAAGTGTGCAGCCAAGCCTGTGCTTCTCTGGACCTGGGCAAAGTCAGTGTTGTGCCTGGGGGAGAGCAGGTATCCTCACTAGACAGCATGCCATAGGCATGGAGCAAGAGACGGTCCATACCCTGGAGAGCTGACCATCACACCCTGTGGGGACATGAAGTAAAAAGTTAGGGAACAGGCTCCTTAATAAAGTACTATAAGTTTGTTTTACTTATCCTTCCCTCCTATGAGAAGCTTCCCCCGCACGGGGAAAACACAGAGAACAGGAGGAATAAATCAGAGAAGAGCCAGGGAGTTTCTTGGGAGAGCGCTGGACTCACAATACTGCTGTCGCGTTGGAGAAGGCCAGGTCAAAGATGCACCATGTGAGGGAACGGGGCCCGTTCTTGGAGTAACCCACTCTGGGCACCACATCGTCATGTATGCAGAGAGTGGTTTGTAGGTAGCAGCAGGGGACTTGTTGCCTTGCCACAGATATCTGCAGTGGGCAGGACACTCATCCCCCGCAAAGAGCCGCGTTATCTAGCCAGCTGACCAGGCAGGGCAGGTAACATCACTCCCAGGCAGAGAAACACATGCCCGGCTCCACCGACAAACCTAAGCGTGCCTCTGAGCTCGGGCTCCCCGCAGCAGGGAGCCGGGCTGCTTCTCACTTCAGGGATACTGGGGTTGTGGCTCCTTCAACTCGCCCACCAACATCACCTCTGTCTTGACTGGGTTTAGCTGGTTGGTTCCTTCTCAACGTATTTTCTGTTCTTTGTCGATGAGCACTCAGTGGAGTGGAGGTGCTGTTGCTCTTGGCCCCCATGGGTGGAGATAAGCAAAGGATTTCATTTCAAGGGACTCATGTGGGACCTTCGAAACTCAAAGCATAAAATATCAAGTCCCAGCTCTAGAGGTGACCACAACTCATTGTGAACCAGCAGAGGAGAGCTTAATACACTGTCTGTAGCAGGCTACCATGGGACCATAGCAGTGTGCGGTTTTTTCTGAACTTATGGTGAAAGTGTGTCTAACACCTTTTCATTTCCATCTGAAAAATGATCCCTCTTCTTCCCCTTCCCCTCGCTCAATGTGCAACCAACGCAAAAAATAAAATCAAATTAACATCGCTGTTACAGAGAACTTCCCAGTTTTAGGCCAGAAACTGTGAACAAGGTTTATTTTATAATAAACCCTATATAGAAACCGTATCTTTTCATTGGTAGAGCTATGATGTGGATTTAAAACTGTTCTGTTTCTAATTGATGCAGGAGTTATAATTAAGAGAAAAAGCGGAGAAATTCCATGCCCGTTGGCGGTTGAAGCATTTGCTGCTCACCTGAGCTATATCTGCAAATACGACGACAAATACAGCAAGTGAGTAAGGATACGTGTGTGTGTGTGTGTGTGTGTGTGTGTGTGTGTATTTCTTTCACTCCTCCTCTGTTGCTGCAGTGTTTGAGTTCTCCATGCTGAGCTGCAGCTGAGAGCCCAGTCTTGCTGCCGCGGAATTAAGCTGTGACAAAACTCCTCTTTCGGTCACAGATCAGAAACTGGCTCTGCACAAGGGCAAGAGCTGCAACGCTGGTGCTGTTTTGGCTCTAGCCACCCCTCCACCAGTTAAAAAAAGAAAATGAGACTTATGTTCTTAGCACCTTGTAAATGACTTTAAAATGTTGGGAAGATGAGCCAGCAGGAGGGTGTTCTTGGCCACATCAAATTGAAGGCTAGTTAGAGAATTCAGCAAGGGTCTACCAGCCCCACCAGTGTCTCAGGCTAGCGCAGGTCTCCTGTCTTATAAGCAGATGGTGTTTAGGTAATTATTATTTGTCCTAATGATACTTGTGTCACCTGGAGCCAGAGGGAAAGGATGTTCTGTTGTGGGTGTAAAGCTGATTTAGGTGATCTGGGAGAGCAGGATGTGGATCTCCTGGCTCCTGAACTCCAGTTGGGGTCCTCGGTGTTAGCTCTCAATGTAGCAGGAAGAAACAGAAAGGAGTAAGAACAGCACTGGTGAAGCTTGAATGTGGGAACAGTGATGAGGTGCGGAAGATTTCAAGAACTAAAAATTGAGGAGAGAGAGAGAAAACAGCAGGGATTTTCCAAGCCAGTTCTGGGCAAGGCAGCAAGAATTCAGTAGAAGAGATGAGAGAGGAGGAGGTGGTTGCCGGAGACTGATGTTGGGATCGGATCTGAGGAAATCAATGTGAAAAAGAGGTGAGGTAGTAGACTTAAATGATTACTAAAAAAAATGAAAGTAGGGAAGTGGGAAATCTTATGACCAAAGAGCGAATATTCTGGCAGTCCTAGAATTAGTCAGAACCTAAATATAAGGATGTCAGTGCTTTCTAGTCCTGCCTTATGGAGAGATGCTCCGCACACCAGCACTGCACGCTCCAGCTCTACCCCCACACCCTCCCACCTACTGTTGACAGCAGCAGAAATCATTCTTTGCTCGCCAGAGAGATGAACGAGAGGAGAAGCGTCAGCAGTATGCCCTAAACCGTAACGTAATGTGCCTGAGGCTGTTTTTAGTTACAGATTGCAGGGATTCAGACCCACAGCTCCCATCACGTGGATGTTTGCCACGGGTAAGCTCGAGGAGTCTGTATCGGTACTCTTACTTACGTGGAGCGGTACAGAGGTGAGAGTGTTCCTGAGGTTTTGCTTCTGAGAGAAAGGAAGCCTGTTCTTTTAGACACTACCAGAAATCTCCAAAATTGTGCAACTTAACTGTAAATGACTGTCGAATACATTGTGCAAAATTTCTTAAGATGATACTTGCACTAGGTATTGAGTCCTGGGCCTCCTTCCCCTTTGGGACTGCGGAGTCTTTGGGGTCATTTCTTGCATCCCAGCTGCTGAACGCTGCTTTTCCCTCCCCTTCTCTCTTGACTTTCCAGGTATTTCATTTCTCACAAACCAAACAAGACCTGGCAACAAGTATTCTGGTTTGCCATCAGCATCGCTATAAACAATGCCTACATCCTCTACAAAATGTCAGAGGCCTACCACGTGACAAGGTACAGCCGCGCACAGTTTGGCGAGAGACTTGTAAAGGAGCTGCTGGGCTTGGAAGACATCTCACCCTCCCATTGATGCTTTGTTCTCAGTGGTGTAGGCAGGGGCTGGAGGTTGAGCAGAAGAAGATACCACACCTGGAACGGCAAAGCAAGGAACTCGTGACACCACCAGTGCTGTCCTTATCCAAAAATGCCAAGTGATGCCACTAGAGAGGTGGAAATTTTGTTGCTACTAGCAGCTGGATGTAAACGTGTCCTACAGAAAGTTCCACTGGAAAATCTGACACACAATTGCATATGGGAATGCCCTGTGGGGATCTGTACACCAGAAACGGACTTAAATTAGTCATCTCTCAGTGCTATTTGTTGAGCAGGGTCATCTTGTAAAGTTCCTCTTGGGCTAAGAGCTTGTCATAGGCTGACAGAGCTCAGCAGTCCTAGGTGGGCATTGCAGAAAGCTCTATACCTTACTTGGAGTTACCCAGTTCTGGGACGAGCAAGGTGAGTCTGCACCGTGGGCTGTGGCGGAGGGTGCCTGCCACCTCGGAAGGCATCGGCGCTGCTCTCCCAGTGTGCTAAACGGCGCGGTTCAGATCCACGAACGCTGAAGTGAGTGTCTTGACAAACAAAACCTTGACGGGCAGGCAGCCAGGAACTGACGACCAGTTAAGACTTTTTCTTTCTGTCTTTTTTTCTTTCTCCTTTGTTTTTGTTAATGTAATATTAGGCAATTTGATCCCAGTTAGAACACAGCAAAATTAGGAGAAACGAAATACATTAGTGAATTTAAAATGGAAATACATGACACCATTGATTTTCTTTTTTAACCAGGATGAAACATTTTATACACAAACAAACAGTGAGTAATACTGTAAGTATTATCAGTGAGTAAACCAGTAAGTAGTACTGCCTCACATCTTAACTGCCACGGTCAGTGTACAGGTGAGAAATCAGAGTATAACAACGACATTTTTTTCTTGATTTCAACCGTGTCTTAAAAATTGCTTAAAAATCTGATGTAATGGACTGTTAAGTTTTTAGGAACAGCAATTTCTTTCCTTTCCTTTTGTAACTGTCAAGACTTTTTTGGTCCATTTTAGAACATCTCTTGGCACACAGTTGGCAGGAAAAAAATAAGTCACTAACAGCAGTGTGTTTCCCGTTATCACTGCGGGGCGTTCTGTAGGAATTCTTCCTGTTAGAATTCAGGGCTTGTCACAGTAGTTGTAATTAAGCAGATTACATGTTTAGCAAAATAACATAGCTTTGTGTTTTTTGAAAAGAAAGAAGTCAGGTTGCAACCAGACCTTAAACCTCACCAAAAAGTGCGCAAGCCCAAAGAGTTGTCCCATTCTGAGGAACACTGTAGAGGACGAGCATCGTCATGCGCTGGTGCCTGTGGCTGAAACGCTACGGTTTGGTGCTGGTGGAATCTGAAGGCCATTGAAGCTTTGGAAAACTGAGAGAGAGGTGTGATGGAAACAGGGGAGAAGTGATACCGAGGTGAAATACTGCCCTGCCCTCTGCTCGTTTTTGGTTTCAGACCACAACTCAGTCAGCAAAAAAACTCCATATTCTAAAGGTTAGCAGTGATGGACACAAACAGAATTGCATTAACTTGCAGCGCAGAAACCATGTTGGTTTTAGGGCCCCAAGGCTGAAAAGTTTTACCAAAGAATGGTGTGAGTTGATTCAAGAGGAATGGAGGGAGTGAGCGATTGATTGATTTCTCTGTCGGTGTAAACCTCGCCAGGTTTTATGTGTCTGTCTCGCAAGAGACAATAAAAGGTAACCACCACGAATGTGAGAACTCCCCAGATTCCATCATTAGGTGACGTGCAGATGCATAGCATGTAGGTCATTACGGAGGAAGAATCCAGCAGGGGTTAGTAAATTACTGACTAGCCCAAAGAGCATCCTTGCACTGACATCTTTCGAGTTCCACTAAAGTCTTATTTTTTTGGAGCAGACTGTGGCAGATCTCACCTGGCTGCAGGGAAAGCAAGGGGATGGCCAACTCCATGGTGGTTCTGCCTGCAATATAGCCTAGAGATTGTCCTATGTGTCCTACTCTGCCCACTGGCTGCGTGCCCTACAGCAGTGGGTTCCCTAAGCACCCCTTTTCCCTTCCCAGTCCACAAAGTCTCCATCTGGGAAACGTGTGAGAAAGGACAAAGCCTTGTGTGTTGAGGCCTTCTAGCCTCGAAAGGGAGGAGGGGGTTTGTACCACTCTCAATCTTGGCCGTGCCAAGCTGCATAGGAGCCCGAGGATGAGTTCAAAACTTCTTGTCCCCAAAGAGAACTCAGACTACCCCTCTTCAGACTGGGTGCATGCAGTAGATGGTTCTTGTCAGCTTTCTAAATATTCAAATGGGGAGAGGAGCTAGTGTGAGCCACGAAAAATAAATGTTCAGCAATATAAGCCCATGGTTTCCTTTTTTTTATTTGGGAAACTCCACAGAGGTACCAGAAGGCAAATGGCGTTCTTAGTGTTCGCTCCCTGATTCAGACAATGCTGTAAATTTATGTGGTAGTCAAAATTGGAGCAGTTGGGAAAGGTCTGGCTGGATCTTTGCTGATGGGACAGCTTGAATGAAGAGTAGCTGCTGGGAGCCCAGCTTCCTTGTGTTCCCCTGCAGTGGTGGAGCACTTGCAAGATGCCTGTGCTCCCAGCAGAGGTGGGGAGGTTTGCAGGACCTTCTAGGAGCCCCTTGGCACTTCTGAGGAGTAAGAACAGCACTCTCCAGCTACGTTGTAGCCCCTCGAGATATAGATCTGGAGCCTTTGGCCAATTGCTACCTTGCTATGTGTGCTTAAAGGCTTGGATCTAGGCCATCTCGTACAGAAAAACGCCGTTTCTTTTTCAGGTGACAGGAGCTCCCAGGCCTTGAATGTTTAATTTTCCACTAACGTGTGCTGTTAATTATATGGATTACTTGAGCTAAAAATCATGAGGTCCTAGCTTTTTGCCTCAGGGACTGGGTCCTGAGTAGTTTTCCCTAGAATTGGTGTTGATGGGGGATTACACAGTGGCTGACTATTACAGGGAAGATGCTTTAGTCTCCTTTGTAAAGGAGAAAGATGAAGACAAAATTATAGCTTTGCAATGAATTTCATTTTCTTAGCCTTAACCATTCCTCATCATTTTGAACCGGTGCCCTAAATATGCACAAACATTCCATAAATGAGCAAAAATATTTATATATATTTATATGCACAAAATGCCTGAACGTTGGCTCTCGAAGCCAACAAGCAAAAGCCACCAAAGCATTGTCTGTTTCCACAGATGACTGCTCCACCTCCTCTTCTCCATTTATTGACTGGGAGAAGAGAGAGGCAGGGAAAGTTAAGATTCCTCCTCATTGGAAAAGCATCTTGCACTTTCTCTATGTTACTACAAGTGAGGCGAAGTAATTAAGGAAGAAATCAAATCGTTTTTAAAAGGCAGAAGCTTGTTAACTGCAGCTCAGCTTCCGTAGCGTTTCCTTTGCTGCAAACCGGCTTACTCAGATTTGGTTCCCCAGCTGCTTGTAGCACTAAAGCTTCTCCCTAGTTAAAGAAAACAGAAAAAAGGGGGGTCGGGGGGGGAGTTAGTCTCAGCGTAGTGCGAGGATGCTAGTTGTAGCGTGCGTGTGTGCGTTCGTTGTGCAACGGCTGGTGAAACGATACCAGGTTTGGGGTTGTTTGGGTTTTGTTGGCTTGGCGTTGTTTTTTTTTTTGTAGCCTTGAGACAATCTGGGTAAGAGATCGCAAAGCTCAGCAGTAGTTAAAATGCGGGGGAA